ATCATTATATCTTAATCATATCATTATTAGTAGATGATATTTATGCAAGATTAAAATGGTTGGTATATTTTTCTCCAGACATCAACGAGTGTGACCCTGTTAGTGACTGTATGCAGAACTGCACGAACTATGTCGGTAGCTATTCCTGTTCCTGTAACAAGTATTTCAAGGTTAAACCTGACAATTCAAAGCAATGCATACGTAAGTCAATATATATCTCATTCAAAAATGTACTCAAATGCATCATCTTATGCAAAGAAGGCCCCTTTCAATTTCATCGAACTCTAAAACAAGATTTGGGCTGATCTATAAGTCAAGGCATGGCTGACACACACAGATCGAACCCTGAAACAAGCTCTTGGCTGTTCTAAGTCAGGGCATGACTAGCTCACAGATTGAACCCTGAAACAATCTCTGGGCTGATCTAAGTCAGGGCACAGCTAACTCACAGATCGAACTCTAAAACAACCTCTGGGATGGGCTGACCTAAGTCAAGGCACGTCAAACTCACAGATCGAACACTGAAACCACATCTGGGCTGATCCAAGTCAGGTCATGACTAGCTCACAGATTGAACCCTGAAACAATCTCTGGGCTGATCTAAGTGAGGGCACGGCTTACTCACAGATCGAATTGCAATTCAGCTTTTTATTTTGCATTTGCGGAGGGAGTGAGGAAAACCGAAACATTCTCACGAATGACACACAGACAGACCTAACAAACTCTACTCACATGCCAAGAGGAAAGGCGAATGGTACTGTTGCTACGAACCGCTTGTTCAGCTCAGATCGAAGTTGTTTCACGGTTAGACCTATGTTAGTCGTGCCCTGATTGTCTTTTTTGAGCTTCAAAAATGTAAATATTCAATTCCAAATTTCTTGTATTTTGCAGCTGAAACTCCATGTAAAAATAACCGTCTGGGCTGCACACACGTGTGTTATGTTGCAGATGAAGTTGACACTTGTGCGTGTAACCAAGGTTACGAACTAGCCAACGACAAAAGGACGTGCGAAGGTTCGATCGATAATCAACTAATCTTCTTGTGGAGGGCTTTTGCGTGACGGTCACGCTAATCTCAATATTCAAAGAATGTTAGCCGTTCCGGGATTGAAGAAGGCGTTGCATCACGGGGCTGTTTGAGGGGACGCTTTATTACTTATATGGCTTCTTTTTCGCTTGCCGATAGTAAAACGGCGTGAAAAACAAGTGAAAAAAGTCTCTATAATGGCTTGTAGCCATTATTTAAAGTGCATATCATATCGACAAACACATGGTGGCCATGATGGTGGCATTAACACATGGCGGCAATGACGACGTAACGTACATGTTGATGTCACGAACAAACTTTAAGTTTGAAAATGTTTAACGTTCGAAGAAGAACGGACGAGTTATACGTAGCTCAAATTGTGCCTTAGAACAGCTTTTTTAGATTTTTTTTCCTAATTTTTAAAGATATTGACGAGTGCGCCAGGAATATCTACCGATGTCAACAGAAGTGTCACAACACTAAAGGAGGCTACTACTGCTCCTGTGTCGATGGATTTGAACTCGCGTCCGATAATGTGACGTGTAATGGTACGTCATATCCTGTATGACTAAATATGGTAACCTTGCTAATCACGTGGCGTGGATAAATAGTTCCTTTCTTTGTCATTCCTTTGATAGGCCCGTTGCAGCATGTCTGAATGAAGCTCAATTTGGAGGACATAACAATAGGTTTCCAATTCTCAGGAGATTAAAGTTCTTTTGTTTTGTCCTCCAAACTGAGATTCTTTGACGTGACATGCAAGGGGTCTATAGTTGCTATAGTAACACGTTATTCTTGTTTAGATATCGATGAATGCATGCGTTGGGAGTTCAACTGCACCGACCCGTCCCAGTTATGTGTGAATACAGCGGGCTCGTACAAATGCGATTGTGAAGCAGGACTTTACTGGATTGACAATAAGTGTAGAGGTTTGTTCATAAGATTGATCTATAGCATAAATCACCTATCATATATTGACCATCTTCTATCGACATCAGAGAAAAACGTTTGCGCATGCGGGCACTTCAGCACGTTTTCTAAGAATTTTGAAGAGTTTGAGTGAGAAAATAAATGTTTGTTTTCTCCAAGTATACAAAAACGTTCGAGAGTATACTTCACTAAGTTTTGGCATTATGTGAATTTTGTTAATCGTATTATGAAGTAGAAGCTWTAATATTCGCAACGAAGAAAAATCATTTGCGCACAGATATTATTTTCCTTGCCAACAATGCGCAACTAGTTTACCTAGGATTAGCGCACGTATTACCGAGAAAGTATAGGTTTTAAATAAAGTGATTTTTTCTCCAGCTCTCAAAAAAGACGAGCCAACACCAACTCCGCCTCCTGCACCAACGCCAAAAACACCAACTGTCAACGAATTAGAGAACGCAGTTATCATAAAGCTGGAAAACCTTACTTTTTTACAGGTGAAAATTTGCTATTGAAAAAATATACAAAAGACTTTAGTATCGATAAAATAAAGCTAAAGTTTTGTATTTTTGTRATCAGTGGAATAAAGAAAACGAAGACAGGTTCAAAGAAGCAGTAGCAAAAGCTGTTACTAAATACTGCGCAAACGCAAGCCATGACTGCGGCGCCAGGTAGGTTTGAAACATGATGTCAAAATGAAGTATTAATATAACGTTATTCTTCCGGTTCACGGCTTTCCTTCTCCTTAAAATCTAACACGCTTAATTTCGACATTCGATCTGGGAGTTAGCCATGCCCTGACTTTGATCAGCCCAGAGGTTGTTCCAGGGTTCGATAATGAATGGTTTATTTTACAGCCATTGTTTTTCATACAGGGATCCCAACCGCGTCACTATGTATACCGCTGACCAAGTCCATCTAGTCCCAGACTTCTTMAARGAGAACCCAARTCATTTAGCTTTCTACGTCAACCAGCCTCCTGGTGTTGGTCAGCCAGGCAAGACAACGATAGAGAAAGATACTTTGATCAAGATTATTGAATCCCATCAAGACGATATTGGGAAATCCCTCAATACGAGAGTTACTGATGTACGACCTTATAAGGAGCCAGCTCCAGGACCAATAGAGACGGATTATCTACCGATTATCATTGGGTCTGCTGTCGGGTTGGTCGTACTTCTGTTACTTATACTCTTCGCTGTGTGGTGAGTAATGCGCTCAAGAAATAATCTAATTATTATTATCTGTCAATCAATAGTTTTTCTTCCATTCCATTTGCCATTCAGCATGGAGGAACAAGATCACGTGACATTGGTATCTCATACGCATTGTCGACAGTCTAAATCGTGTCCATGTTCTTTTATACCGAGTTCACTGAATAACTTTAATATTAGGTGTTTTTGTGCTTGGTGAGCTATTAGAAATGTAAATCATATTATTTCAAGATATTAAAAAAAATAATTAAAAAAAAAAACCAAAAAAAAAAAAAAACGAGTTCCGGGCGAGATTAGTAACGTTTTGGTAGAGTGAATAGAATACAAGTTTTTTGTTGTTGTCTGTTTTACAGGTGGCTTTATCGAAGAAGGTCCAAAGTGGTCGCGACAGAAAAAGGTGACCAGCTGACTGAGAAGGAAATAGAACGGATAAAACATTTTCCTTTTGAGGAACTAGAAATGCAAACTGAGATTCCCAGGGCAAATGCTGAAAACCGTTTATCATCCACGTAAAATGACTCGCACAATTTTTTCGATGCATCGATGGGATGTATCCGGTTAGTTAAACTGGTTTTAACTAGAGTGAAGGTATTTAACCCGTGAAATAAAAAATACTAGTCAATGTGTAATTGTCAAATAGACACAAAAGAAAACAGTGGAATTAGGGTCTACTAATGTGTATTAGTCTAATATCTATTTCACGGGTTTAGTGACTTCACTCTAAGAAATTCAAGGATAAAAACTATACGTAAGAACATTTTAATAAAAGGCGTTTCGACGTTTACGTAACGTAATTATAAAGTCAATAAGAATAAGAAAATACAAACTATATATAAATCACGACTAACAATGAAAGCTTATTACAAAAGAAGATATATGTACAAGAATAAAAGATAATAACAATGATATAAATACATGAATAAAAGGGGGGGAAAAAGAGTAAAATATGTCATTAAACAAAAAGTTTTGCATTAAACGAGAAATAGTAAAATATGTTAATATTTAAGTTTCTTAATAAAAAGCAATTAAGATGCTTTTAAACATTTTTTTWAAATATAGTTTTTTATCGTTGAATTTCTTAGTTAAATGTTTAAGTAAGTCGCTACTTATACATTAAACTGATTAGTATACCTGTAGTAGATTCAATCTCGTATCAAGCACCAGCCTGCTGACCAAAAAGCAAGAGGACTCTGGACTCGAGATTGAGGTAGTTCGAGAAAGAATGGTAAGAGGTTAAACCTCGTACTCAGGCTTTTCCCTCTGCAGGCAAAGGAAAATAACCTGGTTACGAGCTTGTTACCAAATCACTAAACAATATTCTTTGAGTAGACTTTTTAAAGTTTGATAAAAAAGTTGCATTCTGGTCTAGCTTGGGTACTAGCAATGCCATATAAGGCACGTGAACAGAATGTTTGTACCCAAGGTAGACCACAATACACCATGCATCTTCGCTACCTGAGAAGAGCCCGAAGTGCAATCCCAGTAAAATCCTAAAAAAAATAGCCTTTTTTAATTTGTTTTCTCACATAGCAGGTTAATTTACTATACCGTTTGTCCCCTAGGGGGAAGAATAGGAAACGTGCGTAGTGACCTAATCATACACATTTTTTTTACCTCGCACTTACGATATTGCAGGACAAATTTCAAGGAAAATATAGCCTTACATAGCACTAGCAAAATAAGAGTTCACAAACTCACACTTATGCATTACTGCACTGTCTTAAATATTCGATTTTCTGGTTGAGTGATCACCAGCACGAAACAACCAGAATTTTAAAATTTGGAGGAAGTCCCTAACTTTATTATATACTATGGACTTCTGAATACTCCCATTTCGAGTTCGCCTTTTCTCAGTCTTAGCCTCGATTGTGTACAAATGCGTTCTTTTCTTCTATATTAAAGTCCATTGTATGGTAAGGAATGTACGTACTACGGAACAATACGAGCAGCCAGTTCTCAAATGGTAAGTGTTCCTATTAGTTTTTAGAACTTGGTCAACCAGTTCTATTGAACTGACGTGTACCATTTGAGAATTAGCCGCTCGGATTGGTCAGTTTGACTTAATGGAAAGCGCCCTAGGGCTGAGCAAAAGAACTCGAAACTGGAGTATTTGGCTATAGACCCCTTGCACTGAGTCCCGAGAGGAATTGTTCTTAGGGACAAGCGATTGATTTTTTTTTGCATAAGAAAAGAAGGCCTATTGTTTTGTTCCCCAGAACAATTCCTCTTGGGACTCAGTGCAAGGGGTCTATTATCAACTAACTTGACGTTATGTGACGTCACCACTATTTCTATTGCTATCACAAGTAACTAATCTGTAACTCGACGTTATGTGACGTCACCACTACTTATATCGCAAGTAATTGATCAATTTCTGAGCAAAACTTATTTATAAATATTTTAACTTAATATACACAGTTTAATAATAAAATATTGCAACTACAATAATTGAATAAAGAATAAAGAGAAATAAAAAATAGTCAACGTGTAGTCAAATAGACACAAACAAGAGACCATCAAGGACAGGCCCCAAATGGTCTCGCGTAATAGTCTAAAATTTATTCAAAGAAAAACTTGATTCTTGCAACAGCCTACTAGTTGGGCTACCATCGTCTGAAAGTCGACAAACTTCAGCGTGTGCAAAACTGCGCTGCAAGGCTGGTTGTTCGAACTAAAGAAGAACGACCACATTCAAGACATTACTCCCATCATAAGACGTCTACACTGATTGCCCGTTAGAGCGTGAATCGATTTCAAGATCCTTTTGCTAGCCGACAAATATCTCAACGATCAAGCACCAGAATATATGAAAGAACTGTTGAGATACAAGCCTGAACGTAACCTCAGATTATCTAACCAAAGCCTCCTAACAGTACCATCATCAAACTCTAATAGCTATGGAGATAGAGCAATCATGCTCCGTGCTCCAAGACTTTGGAATTCCACTCCAATAAACATTCGCACTGCGAAAAACTAAGTACAGTAGTTTTAAAATCACTACTTAARACATTTCTTTTTTTTCTAACGCTTTACTTTTAACTAACCCACTCTTTTGTTTTTTGATTGTTTCTTTCGTTTTCTTGTCCACCTTGTCAGGGGCGTATCCAGGATTTTGTTCAGGGAGGGGTGCTGCGCACAAAGTTAACCCAGGGAGGGGTGCACCCATTAGAATCAAAGGGAAAAAACAGTATTATTACTGTTTCACTAGAAACACCGACTCAGCTCACACTAGTTTTTAGCTAGTTATCTCTTCTTTTTTCTAAATACTATTAGACTTTATTTCTTTCTTGTAATTCTGTAAGATCACTGGGACTCAGTGTGGCACTAGTCTCCCTCACAGCCGCTTTCMGTGTCATCACGCAACGCTTTCTCCCCTGAAAGCGGCTGTGAGGGAGACTACTGTGGCGCTCCTAAAGCCATTTCATTATTATTATTAATGAGGTTACCTCCCACAAAATACCACCCATCCATCGTCGGCTGGGCTTATACAACAGAAAAATTTACAARTATTTTAATTGTCCGGAAAAAGGCTCTTGGGAATAATTAAATAACTGGGATGGTTTCTTATACAGAGAATAAGTAAGGAGGAGCTCTTATTGATTCGAGTCGAGGGCTTTTACAAATCTCAAAAACAAAATATTCCCTGCTCTTTGGGAACGAGACTCTGACCACAGGAAGCCCAAACTGTACAAATCCTCAAACTCTAAACATAAAATGTCAGAAAAAGTTATGCAATCTTTCAGTAAACAAGAAAACAATAACGAAAAAAAATCAATCCTAAGTTAAACAGACAAGCATTTCGCTTTCTTTTGGTGTCATGCTCGATTTGCATTAGCTTGATTGTTATTAAGATTTCTGCTAGGAAGGTCTCCCTGATTGGTTCACAAGACAAAAGGTAGTGGGCTAGCCTTGTGCCTCTAAAGTAATTTCGCTTCGGTACATGATTTTCGGATGCTTATAAGTGACCCTAGGTTTTTTTATTTTTATTGTTTAGAATAAGCCACAAGATATCAGTTTCAGTGCCCTTTCCTTCAAGGTATAACTTTACATCGTGCTAGGAAAGTAAGGACGCGTGACCTCAACGATGTCGGTCGATCTGAACCAAAACAATGAAAACAACGTCCAAGAAAATATCGAAAATTTAAGCTTAAAGGAAAAAAAACTAGCGGAGATGCCGAATTCTTCATCTGATCTGCACCCCGAAGAACGCAATGAAAATCAGAAACCACAAGAAAATGGAGAGACGAAAAAAGAAGATTTTCCGGATTTAAAACGAAAGAAAATATCGGTCGAAGAACTCACTTGGGATATCGAAAATGGTTTGAGGTGGATTAGAAAAGAGCTGAACGCAATGCGAGAACAAGATAAGGTTTTGACCAAGCAGTTGATTGGGATGAGAAGTAAAGTCAACGAAATAAGCCAGATGGTTGAATTAGATGAAAATGTAGACGAAGACGAAGGATAGACAAGGTTAAATGGCATGTAGCGACTATGGACATTATTCATCACGTCTTTACTCAAGAATTGCCTTGTTTGCAGATCATCATGTAGGATTAAAGATTATGAGTAAATGATAATTTTTTGTTTTTCTTTAAACTCTATGTCATTCAAAGAAAATGCGTTAAAATTTTGGTTTCGGAATCTTTTTTGGAATCTTCATAAACATAAGCTATGATCTAGATTCCTCTTATCAGCGGTAGTACTGGTTTAAAACGCGTTGCCTAGCAATTGCTTCCTTAGGTCAGAAATCCATAAATTTTGTAGGTTTCTGTTCGATGTTTTTTAAAGCGATAGAAAGCACGTACTAAAGTGTAAGGCGCAGAATTAATGCTCTAGGGTTTCTCGACGATGGATGTGCTTAAAGATCAATATATAATGTGGTTAAATGTAATTTAGGCTAAGTTAGACTCGAGGTCAATGACATCTCGCAGTAGCGTTGTCCGGACGCATACCGCTATCTCCGCTGTCAACGCATTTATTACCTCACGCGATCGTTGATCGACTCAGCTAGCAAGTTGTTTATAGCATGTCGCAATTTATTCTAGTCGATCTCTGTGGCCTGTATGAGATATGGATCATAGCTATCATTACGAAATTCGATAAGGCGCTACACACGTGATCACGCTAGCTTAATGCCAACCACGCGAACCTTTATTCGCCATCGCTATCTATCGCTAGCACTTGCTATACGACGCTATTACGCTATTACGCTACAACACGAGTTTAATTTCCCGCCCGCCATCCCTACCACTGGTACAGGTAAGTAGAGGTAAGTATTCCATYGACTGATCGCGGTCAATGTRACAGGTGTTCGGTGGGTGGTGACAGGGTGACCATGGTTACCGCTAATTTGTGCCTGGCTCCGCCCATCCCACCGAATATGCACCTAACGCCAAGCTCATCATTAACGATGAGTTTAATCATACATATATCAAGACATAAACGTAATAAGCTTTAAATTAATGCCGCAAAGTTTCTTGGAGCTCTAGGTATTTCCAAAAACAATAATAAATATTTTAGTTAATTGTCTAATTATACATATTCATTTGAGTTTAAATCAATGAAGTCACCGAGCTTTTACAAGAACTATTAGCTCAATTAATAACAAAATTAGAAATTTATTAAATTGGAATCGAGGTTCAAAACAACCCCCCCCCTCCCCCCCAATATTGTGAGAATAAAAAAATAAAAATGGATAAAGCAATTTTTGTCCAGATTTTTTAACTTTTGAGCTGTTGTTCCCTATCTGCATGTAATCCATCTATTATACTAAGAAGCTTAAGCTAGTTAATCTAGCTAATTATTATTGGGAACTTTTTCTTTTTTAATTAATGGACAAGAACTTACATTAGTGTGGCACTTGTTGGTCTGTAGTTGGTTTTTACAAAGATAGGGCAAAAATTAACATCTGTGCCAATATTCTAAGGCCCCTCTCACAGAGAGCTCTCCTCATGTTGACAGACTAGCATTGTTTGTGTATCAAATGGCATGGCATATAATAGGGTAAATAATTAATCCATGTCAGAGTAATTATGAATTGTTTGGCTTTAAAACTATATAGATATATTGGTGATAAAATGATGTAGAAAATTTTTGAAGTTTTTTTTTTATTGTATGGAAGACTAAATGACTTTAGGACTAAAAATGGCTTTAGAACCTTCTAAACATGGTATTATGTTACAAAAGTCTTGTTAGGTCATGCATGGTGAGCATTGACAAACATAACCAGACCCTGAGGGCTTAGATTATATAATAGGAACAAGAACAGGATCATTTTAATGAGTGACATATTTTTTACATTAAATCCAAGATTGTCTAGCTTTATATTAGTTTGCAGTAATGATATTTTTTCAAGCAGAAAATCTTATTAATGAAAAATTCCATTCTAATCATACAATGTAGGCATTAATTTTGATATTTTGAATTATATCCATAAAAAATTTTAGTTATTTGAACCTTTTTATTAAGGTTTTATAACAGATATATATATATTCATATTCATTAATTATCCAATTGGAGTTGGTTTACAAGTGTCATTTCTAGAAGAACTTTACAAAAAATTCAAAAATATCTAAAAATTTTCTATTTAAATTTATTTTCATTAAGCATCAATATTTTAATTTATGAATTATAAATCCTTTGCATCTTGAACATTTTTGCATTTAAATTTAACTGCAAGGCTACGTCATTGGTAGCATTCCTTTTCCTGCAAACATTGGGTTTTCACTGTGTGGACTGCCTGTGTTAGCTGAATTAGAGTTCGCCAAACTTCCACCAATTGATATTTCAGTAGAATGYGTCTCTTCAGAAATTTATATTGCATGTGTGCAAGAGTAAGATCCATGAGCTGCCACATGCAATAAAGTTCCATTCTACATTTTTGATCATCATCATTACCCTCTAATGTGGGGCTGACACCAAGTACTTCACATTTTTGATAGAGGTGGAGAAATATATGTTGAATCTAGAGGAATATCAAGAAATTCACCTGTAATGGAGAAGAAAACAAGTAAATCACAAGAAAACTAAAACACGCTGCATGTCAAAATTTCATTTTTCACTGCTGTTAGTCAAAAATGTAAAACATACCATTGGATTAATTTTGATGGCACCATAAAATTACTGAAAAATTCACTGAAAAATACCTATCGTCTTGTGCAGCTTTCGAAGTTCACTCCTATCAGAGACAGATATCATAGTGCCTTCCGGTCTACAGAAAAAGTCATAGATTAATTCACAATTTGCCACAGAAATATAATACTGGCATAATATTGATCAAATTTGAATTTTCAACGTATTGTATTACCTTTTTACTTTTGCAATAACTTGAAGATAAGTGAAGGCCTTGATGGCATTTTTAATAAGTTCCAGGGAAAGAACTTCAAAGTATTTCACAGTGCCTGAAGAAGATTTTGTACATTATATATTAATAAAAAACTATCAATGGATTGATAGAATATATGGAGAGGATAGATGGAGGGAAGGATAGGTTAGGATAGGTTAGGATGGATGGATTTTGAAAGTAGATGAATAGTGGAATGAGAGGGATGGATGGTATTGATAATAAATGGAAGAAATAAATAGGATAGATGGATGGATGGATGGATGG